GCTATGATTTGTATTGTCAGGAAAGCCCTTTTGCAGTGCAGATCCCTCAGGAAGGTCTGTGGGTCATCTGGCACTTTCTCTCTCTCTGGCCTGAGGAAGAAAGAGGTGTTCCTGCCTGGCTGTGGCCTCAGAAGAGCATTTATCTTAGGGAGAGTTTGCCCAGGGCCTGATTTGGGGCACGCTACCCCCACCCCTTTGCTTGCCCTCATCATGCTGTAGGTGGGAGTCTCCAGCTGATTGGCACTCTGGTTTCCTTTAAAGTGCCTGCATTTCGTCCTGTAAGTCTACCAAAGGCCTTTTTCTCTTGGTTACTGAAAAACGTTAAACTAATGGGATGGAATCTGCTCAGTGTTTGTTTCTTATAAATCGTTCAACTCTGTTGTTCGTTTCTGTTAACAAACATCAGTAGCAAAACAAATGTCGAATTAGGTAGTAGTATTAATGACAGATATGAACTAATTATTTACAGCTGAAAGCTTTTTTTATTGTGATACCCAGACCTTTGGTTGAGTTTTGTTACACAATGTCTATGGTACTGTTTTCTGCTAGTGAAGGAATTGCTAATTTGTAATACAGAATTAGATATACATTGTTTTATGGTGTAGTATCTCACAACAGTCTGATGTTCAGTACACAGTACCATGAGAATTGTTCTGACACCGATAGAATGGATGCCCAAGGTAAACAACTGAGAAGGAGGAGAGGCTTGTTTTAGAGATCTCAGCACATACAGTTCCTTAGGCTCATGCTGGGCATTATGCCACGTGGGATGCCACGTGGGATGCCACCTGGGATGCCACGTGGGAGCAGGTGCTGGAGGAGGCCTATTTACTTGATTCCAGCCAGGAAGCAAAGAGAGAGGAGGGCCTCAGGGCTTCATTCTCCTTTTTGTTAAGCTTTGAAAACTCATTCTCATAGGCTGGCCGTGTCTGGGGAGGAGGGACCCAGTTGACAAAACTATCCATTGGGAAAGGCTTTTGATGGTATTCCAATCTCACTGTCTGTTTCCTGCTGCACTGAGATGTGAAGTCATCGTCACATGATTCTGCCATCGTGAACATTAGGAACACTGCCATTCCTTTGCCACTGCAATGCACACCAACAGAGACCTTGTCTCTCCTGGGTGGTTTCTGTCGGGCTTTTACATCACTACAACACAAAAGCAAACAATGCATTCTTCAAGGGCTCACCCTGGTGACCTAACTTCCTCTCCCCACTTTCTGAAGGTTCCATCACCTATGGCAACACAGATTGCTAACCAAACCATTGGCACTAGGCCTTTGTCGGACACGCTGTGTGAGAACTGATTTTTCTGGTGCTTTGCTATATGAACAAGTTTGAAAATACTTGCAGAATGCAAATTGGAAAGACATATGTAGCTTAAATTGATGTCTTTTATCTTAGTTCGAGTTACAACTGATGTGATGAAACACCATGACCAAAAAGCATTTTGGGGAGGAAGTCCATATAATAGTTGATTATCAAAGCAGCAAGGGTAGGAACTCAAGCAGGGGAAGGACCTGGAGGCAGGAGCTGATGCAGAGGCTGTGGAGGAGCGCTGCTCACTGGCTTGCTCCTCATGGCTTGCTCAGCCTGCTTTCTTACAGAACCCAGGACACCAGTCCAGGGTCAGCACACTACAATGGGCTGAGCCCTCCCCCATCAGTCACCAATTAAGAAAATGCCTTAAGCTGGGTCTTATGGAGACATTTTCTCAAATGAGGTTCTGTCCTTTCAAATGACTCTAGTTTATGTCAAATTGACATTAAACTCTCAGGGCATCTTTGTACAGCATAAAGTTCTCTGCATCTCAGCCACAGAGAGACAAAGGCATGGGGGAGAGGCCCTTTCAGTAACCTCTTGACTAAGACACTGTCTCTGATACAGCTGATGTCTTTTACATTTCCCCTTTGTGCTTTTCTCATGCTAATGGCAGAGAGAACTACAAGGACAGAGTGGCATCTACCATGTCTGTTAACTTGTATTGCTTTATGCCACAGACGCAGGGATTCATGTCTCAAGATGTTTTGACTGAGCATCTACTAGATGCTTAAAAGGTAGGAAGCAAAGCTAGCAGAGTCACATTAGTCAGCCTTCTCTTCACTGAGTAGTCTAACCCTGCTGATCTGTGGATCTGTGGTAGAAGGGCTCCCAGAGGCTCCTGCATTCAAATGCTTAGTCAGTCACCAGGGAGTGGCACTATTTGAACGGATTAGAAGGATTAGGAAGAATGTGTCACTGAAGGTGGGGTGGGCTATGAGGTGTCTAAAGCCCTGGCTCTCTCTTGGCCTGTGGACCAGGTTGTAGCCTCAGCTACGGCTCCAGGGCTTCGTGTGCTGCCATCCCTCCACCATGATAATGGACTGACCCTCTGAAACGTAAGCAAGCTCCCAGTTAAATGCTGTCCTTTATGAGAGTTGCCTTGGTCATGGTGTCTCTTCTCAGCACTAGAACAGTGACTAGGACACCGTCCAAGGGAGGAGGAAGTTTTCATGTACTTGGATGACTGAGTGTTGTTAGAGACCATCTTACCCTGTATTTTCTTTGAAAAATAAAAATGCAAAGCTGTCTTTTCTTGATGTAAACAACTTAAGGGAAGAGATATTTACTTGCCATGGTCATGTGACTTTTGCTTCTGGGCCTGTGCTGAGGTAGAATGTGGTGGTATACCATGGTGGGGGAAGGGCGTTCACCTCGTGAGCAGCAGGCAGAGAGACAAGGATTACCTTTGAGGGCATATTCCCAATGACTTCTGTCCTCCCACCCAGCTTCACCTCCTAACAGCGCATGCTGCATTCGCTGTGAACTAACCAGTCACCCTCAGTAGTGAGTGCCATCAGCTGGGATCAAGCCTTCAACACAGGGGAAGACATTTCATATCCAACCCTAACAGTCTCAAAGTACGCTGTCAGGTAGAGTGCCACTGACTGAGGAGAGGACCTCAGATCTTCCTGGTAAATAATACCTGCCTTGCTTTTTAAAAGGGGATTAGCACAGTGTAGAGGGCAGGTGAGTTCGGATGTGCCTAGCAGGAACCAGCCCTCTGAAGCTAGCTGGAATAGACTAACCCTGTCAATTCAAAGGTAGGAAACCCTAGTGTGCTTTGTGTCAGAACTGCTGTGAGGCCATAATCTTGTCTTTCCTTTGAAGAGCCTTTCCTTACAGAGGGCCAGGTCTCTGACCTACAAAGCCTTGAAAGGAAATTCCTTTATGAGTGTGAAGTTGCTGCAGGTGACTTGACACACCATGTTGACCTAAACAGCTTCAAGGGAGGTCTTTAGGGGGAAAGAGTTCCTTGTTTCAAAGGATTCCTTATGGAATTTACAGTTCAGTGTGATGGTCTCAGAACTCTCCACTCTGGCATGTTTGCCTGCAGATGTTTCGGGGGATGGTCAGTTTGCTGATACATGGCACAAACTTTACGTTACACTTGAAATATGTCTTGAGACATTTTTTATAGCCAGCTAGAGAGGGGAAAATGCTCTCAGAAGCTGAAGGCTCAGTTTCAGGAATACCAAGTTAGCCTTTCTTGTCTGGTGTCAGATTAATGGGGAGTTGGGAACTGAAAGCTGGTATGTGTTACCCTAAAATGCTGCTTGTTAAGACAGGCACATTTCTGAAATAGTTGTTTGAGACCTGAAGTTCATGCCCCTCTTTTCCTGCCTGCTCCAACTTCCAGTCATAACCAGAATGTCTACATTGTTCAGTTGATTTTATTTAAAAAAAAGACAACTTGTTGGTTCTTTCTGGTTTTAATAAATACACAGCTTGGCTTAATGGTTTCCTGAATTAAGTAAGCCAAAAGCTGCATTGTTACTGTTTCTAATATTTTTGTGCTTAAAATGTGGATGCCATTGAGAATGGCAATCATTTTCCTAATTTGGCAGTTGGAACAGACTTTGGGTCACAACTCTTTAGAGACGTGACCCCGCTGAGTGAGTGTCCTGGGATTCCCTCCCATCAAACCTGAATTCAGGTTCCCTGCAAGGCCCTGAAACATTGACGGTTCAGCTTTGTGCAGGTCACAGTTTTATGTAGAACTGCAAAATGAACCTGCCTATAAGTTATATAGAGCTTATTTAGAACCAAGCTGGCATTTCAAACCAGGTTTATGCTTTCTAGAAGAACATTTATTAAACTTTATAAGATTTCTTGCAATATTATAACATGGCCCTAGATGAGTTTTCCCCAATTTACTTTTAAGTGGTGGGTGCATGATGGAGAGAGGCTAGTAAATTTTAATTTTAGATATGCTGTGCAATTATACAATCATAATGAACACCATGTGTTAACAGTGGGTTGTGCACTTGCTACATGGATGTGAATGAGGGAGAGCAGATCGTGTGTGTGTGTGTGTGTGTGTGTGTGAGTGTGTGTGTCTGTGTGTGTGTGTGTGAGTGTGTGTGTCTGTGTGTGTGTGTGTGAGTGTGTGTGTCTGTGTGTGTGTGTGTGAGTGTGTGTGTCTGTGTGTGTGTATGTGAGTGTGTGTGTGTGTGTGAGTGTGTGTGTGTGGTGCTTATATTCAACTCTATTTATATGTTATTCCATATGTTGAACAAACTAATCTTAAGGAGAAGGAAAGGAACTCTTAAAGTAAAATTTCTTTATTATTTGTATTGGGTTTAAAAAGTAAAAGTATATACTTTAAGTAAATTTGTTCTTGAGCAAAAGAATGCTCAAGATTGGGTAGTATAAAAATGATGATAGGAGCTGGAGCAATGACTCAGTGACAGTCTCTTTAGTAGTCATGTCAGTTTTTGTGTGTATGTGTTTTTCTGCTTCAAAGGGTTTTAATAAATTAATTATAAGTATTTGTATATGGATTTTAATCTTGAAAATAAACACTTAAAAAAATAAAAACATTATGAAATACTGAAATACTTTTTTGTTTGTTTTTAAATTCTAGTTCCATTTATCATTCAAGTGGCAAGTCTTTCCACTTCTTACTATAGGAATTTTAGGAAAGGATGTTGGGAACCTTTTGTGGTCAAGACATTTTAAGAATGAAAAAGGCTCTTGATCTTAGCAAGCTAGAATTAAATAAATTAGTGTTCAAGCCTCTAAATGCCAGCTGTTTGGCATCCAGGGTTCATGGATGGGCTCTCTGTTGAACTGATGGGTGGTGAAGCTAAGCTGTTTTCCAAACTTTCCTCCAGTTCTGCAGACTGTTTAGAAAGAGGCTTTTCAAGAGGCTATAACTAAAAGCAGGGTGCAAACAGCAGTCTTTGGGGTGATGTCTTTGATGTATGTGAGGAGGATTCTCCCAGGAACGGAAGCTTCTCATTGGCTCATTGTGTCACTTTGTGACTGTGTCCCATGACTACTAGCCACACATCACTACAGCTTAGCAGACTGTATCCTCTGAGGCACAGGCTGTAATACACAGACAAAGGAAAAGCAGCACGGTGTGTCAGAGACATCCAGCTGTGGGAAACAATTACTTAAGAATTAACGTTGCTAGCATTTTGTAAGCAGAAAAATGAAGGCAACTTTTTATTTTGTTTTCTTGAAAAACTTTTCATCCTTTCTCATTTTCTTTCCCATTTTGCTGACCTCATTTAAGAAAGTAATTTTGTATTGTTCTTTCATGAATGTAGGTCATTTTGAGGTCAATCATAGATGAGAACTGTGCCCTTCAACTGTTGTTGGCTTGTTTCTAAGTAGTACATATGAGCTATAAAGTAAATTGGTGTTACCAAGAAGACTTACATTAGCATTTGTAACTCTGTGGTCTCCAGCCTTGCAGGTATCCTAAGTGATTTGTTGTTTCTTTGTTTGACACATATTCTCACTATGTACGAATAGCTCAGGCTGGCTTCTTATTCAGGATCCTCTTGCCTCAGCCTCCCAATCCCTGATGTTACAGGTGAGAGTCACTTCATAATAAGTGACTCTTATTATAATTGTTATAATTGTTAAGTAGGCTCATTCACTCATTTATTCATCATGTACAGTTATTGATTGCTTTTATATAGCTGGCTTTCTCTATGCTTTGCATTCTATATGTCACAGTGAGGAAAGCAGGTGTTTAAGGGATAATGCGTGCACATCAGTTATGTATCTGGCATTGTTAAACCTGGGATTATGCTCTGTGGAGACACAAGGAAGCACTAAATAAGTACTTAAAAACTAAAGTAATTTCAGATACTGCATTAGTCAGAGTTCTCTAGAGGAACAGAACCTAAAGGATTAATCTATCTCTCTCTTCTTTCTCTGTCTCCATAGTTACTTATTTAGATTTATTAGAATGGCTTACAGGCTGAGGTCCAGCTAGTCCAAAAATGGTAGTCTACCAATGGAAGGTCCAAGAATCCAGTATTTGTTCAGTCCACAAGGCTGGATATTTTAACTAGTCTTCAGTACATGCCTGAATCCCAAAGAAGTAGGCTCCAGGGAAGAAATAGACTTGCCCAAGAGAGTGAGGACCAGCAGGCAAGAGCAAACTCTTCCTCTTCCATGCCCTTCATACAGGCTGCCAGCAGGAGGTGTGGCCCAGACTAAAGGTGGATCACCCCACCTCAAAAGATCTGGATGAGAAGTGGCTCTTCCCACTTCAAATGACTTAATTGAGGAAAATACCCCTCACAGGTGTGCCCAGCTGCTTGGGTTTCATTAATTCCAGATGTAGTCAAGTTGATAACCAAAAATAACATCACAGATAGGAATTAGAACTTCAAAAACACCAACACAGGGAGAGCTGTTAAGACCCTGGCCTGGCCTACTTTATGGTTGCTAGAGGAGATCAAAATGAGTATAATCACAGGTAAATATAGCTGCCATAAAGGAAAAGTAAAGGGTGCTGTGAAATGAGGGTGTAGGAGGGACAGGGAAAGAGTGCAGGCAGCAGTGGTGTTTGTGCTGAGTGGAGCTGTGTCTGTGCCTTTGCCGACTCCTGTGGCAGGTGGAGCAAAATGAGAAGCTTGAAGCACAGAGGTTTATGGATTGTCATTGTGCAGGCTGAAAATCTAAGGTCACAATGCCAGCGCAGCTGGTTCCTTCTGAAGGCTGAGGGGCAGTTGGTTCTGCTCTGTCTGCTGGCAGTTTGTTGCAGGTTTTACAGTTACCTGGTGGAGGAACACGTCACCCTGATCCATGTCATCTGTTCACATTGTGTTCTTCCATGGTCTTCGTCTGTCAGGTTCCCACTTCTATAAGGACATCCTCATGTTGGATTAGGGGCCATTCTGCTCTCCTGTGCAACCACCTAAATGAAGGGCGGTCACAACTTTTGTTGCCAAATAAGGTCACATTCTGAAGAGATGGTTTTATTCCAATGTGATTTGATAAGGTACAAGAAATTGTTTCTTGGGCTGTTTTAACTTTGGTATGTTTAATCTGTTTCTGGAGAAAATAAAATATTTTCAGAAAATACATTGCAAAGGTCTTTTTCAGAAACTGCACTCAGCTAATGTCTCATGAGCAGGATGCTGAGTGGAAGATGAAGCTTTGGCTTTGTTGAGAAATTTGAGCTCTGCAGGGTCAGGGGTGGGATCTTGCTTGTTTTGTTATTTTATTTTATTTTTTTAAAGATTTTATTTATTATGTATATAACATCTGCTTCCATGTATATCTGCACACCAGAAGAGGGCACCAGATCTCATAAGGGATGGCTGTGAGCCACCATGTGGTTGCTGGGAATTGAACTCAGGACCTCTGGAAGAGCAGTCAGTGCTCTTAACCTCTGAGCCATCTCTCCAGCCCCATGTTTTGTTATTTTAAAAAGAGGAAAACAAAGAGACATTTGTAAGCTAATGTGTAATCCAGTAGAGAGGGAGACCTTGGGGGTACAGAGGAGACATGAGAATTCATTGATGATGTGAACTAAGTAGGGAGAGGAGAGAGATCTAGCACACACAGAAGAGCTAGCCTTAGAGCTGAGAATGGGGTGGGGCAGGGAGGTGTCAGGAGATAAAGTACTGGTAAGGCATTGCTCTGAAAGTGTGTGCACCCGGGTTCAGATCCCCAGCAACCAGAGAAGAGCCAGGTAGACATGGAGCCATCCATAATCCCAGCACCAAAGAGCCATAGACTAAGGGTCCTTTGGGCAAATTGGCTCTGAGATCAGGTATGGTGAGAGATCCTGCCTTAGTAGAGTGTGGAGCAATTGAGAGAACACACCAGACATCAACACATTCATGTGAGCACAAATACCTTTACACACGTGCACACACCTACATGCTCGAATTCATGCGTGGGTATGCTCTAAAGACATAGACATACAGAGACAGAGATGAGAGAAATGAGGACAGGTAAGGTGACAGAAAGCTACCCGGGAGCTGGTGGTGATGGGTGATCACTTGTGAGTGCTAGTGTGTTAGCAGTGTGGTTGTAAGGAAGTAGTTCACTAGTCAGCTGGGGGGAGGGAGGGGGTATGGAGGGTTCAGGAACCAGGGAGAGGTGTGAAATCATTAGCTGAAGAGAAAAGAGTAAGTCCTCACAAAAGACAGGGCTTCATCTGGGTGTGGGCACATGTCGATGTTCCCTACACATAGGAGGCAGAGCCATGGAGGATGGTGGCTTTGAGATGAGCCTGGGCAACGTTGCAAGACTGCCTCTAATATACAGAAACAAGCAAAAGACTGTGTTTTCAAGAGACTGAAGGTTAAGGCTGACAGCAGCTGATTCCAATAGATGGCCGCAGACAGTGAGATGGTGTACTAAGGTGAGTAGGACACTGAGAAGGAGCTCTACTCAGTCATTTCCCCAAAGCCGCAAACCCTACAGTCCCGCTAGAAGGCAACTGAACCAGATGCAGGATGCGAGTTACAAGAGTCGTATTAACAAGGAAACGGGTATTTCGGTATGTCCCAAAATAGGTATTTAATAGTAAAATAGGCATTGAATAGTAAAAATGTAAGCATATTATGTAAGTAAATCTTCTAAACCACTGGTGAATTTGGGTTGTATGTTTTCTGTGACAAATGCTTATGTATGCTCCTCCCCTTTCCAGTGAGCGAAAAATGAAGCTGCAAGCTGCTGTTCAGAAGCTTCTGGAGTCCCGTTGGTAGTCACTGGTTAGAAATGTCAGATATCATATGCCCTTAGGCTATACTATGAAAAATTGACAGGTGCCACATGCTTGACAGTGGCTTCCAAAGTACCAAAGATCAATAGTGTACATCTTTGGTATATCTGCCACCAGGCTAGGGACGCGATTGCTCCTGTGTGCTTAATGTGTGGGCACTGCCCCAGCAGGAGACCAGGAGTTGTACCTAGATGCACTTTAATTCTCCCTGCTGGCACCAGTGTGAACGAGGACAGCAGCACTCAGGTCCACCAAACATCCTCAGAGCTGGGCCCCTAGAGTTCAAGCCCCTTTAGGGAAAGTGTGCTGTGTAAGGGGTAGGAAGTCTAGAAGACCACCAAGGAAGGAAAGGTATCTGAGTATTTGTCAGTGTGAGGTTTTCAACCCTCCTTGTGTTTTCAGTGTTAAAAAGTAAAGCCCAAGTTTGATGTCTGAATGACTTGGTAGATAGAAAACTAGTTTGCACAAGATTCCCAAGCCTCTGCTTTTAAGTGACCATCCAGCCTGGGGAGTCATTACCAAGCCACTTGTTCTGCAGTACACCAAGGATGCTACTTATGTATTAACTATGGACTTTTCCAGTCTCTTTGAATGCATTAGTGTTCACAGTGGTTAAAAATAGCTCAAAGCTCATTTCTGAGATAGCTCCTTTTAATGTGATACTTAATAGAAACCTTTAAAAACCTAGAAAGCCTAGAAAGTGTCTTTATCTTGAGGTTTCTCAGGGACCCTGTCTTAACCAATGAGGTGATTTCTCTTCATTTAATTATAGTATTGGAGTATTTGACTTATTTCAAATGTGTGTTGTCACTAGAAAAGCAAGATTTTCATGCTGTTAAGTGTGCTTGCTGGTAAATGCAAATAAAATAATTTTAGACTAATGCTGTTGGTTTTCTTGATGGAGATTTTATTACTCTGTATCTAAAATAGTTATCATACTCCATTTTAAAACAAGTTGGAACATAAAAATAAAAGTAGGATGGATCATGAGATGATAAGTGTTTTGTCAGATTAACATTTTATTTTACAAATAGCTAAATAACTTAAAAGCCTTTTCTTTCCTTAAGTTTGAGTTCTAAATCATGGTGGCGCTTGGAAGGGAAAGCTGCACCTGTGGTAGAGGAGTGTGTGGCAGAAATCTGTTTACACAGCTGTGTAGTGATGTCAGCTACACAGAGGACATTCACAGAGTCATGGAATGAGTCTCACTTCCACACAGCTGTCAGCTCTGCCTTGGAAATCACTAATTAAAGGATAACTTCAGAGTTTGACTACATCATACTCCTCAGCTCACTAGCTGTCCTCTGTCTGAATGCATAAGTTCAGTCATAAGTATATGTTGGCCAGTTTCTGAGAGAATTTGGGCTCTTGGTTAAGACTGCTTCATATTTGTGGTTTATGCTTTCATTGCATCTATTACCAGCTGTGTTTGTACCAAACTGTACATCCATTAAACTTTATTGCAGTTACATGGGCACTTTTGGTGCACTTTACTAAAGTTACAGAATTGAATTAATTTGGCCTGTGTGAAAGCTTCCTTTATCATTAATAAATTTCATGTAATCCATGTTTTGGATAGATTGTATGATTCATACCACTACTAGAATATAAATAAATACTTTAAAACTAAGCATTAGTAACAATACAGACTGAGAATTTATTCACAGGACTTTAGGGGTTTAGAAAAGTATCTGATTCGAAAAAGTGAATAAAATGTTGCCACTGCCTGTGTGTCACCATCACATCTCTTCAAAAATGCTTACCTGAAAGAGTTAACGGACTGCAGGTGCTTTCACTGTTTGTTGGACACTTGTGTGTGTCTTGAACTCTGCTCAACTCCACAGACACCAGGACACAAGGGTCACATCCTGCCCACACATGCTCTCTTTTCTTTGTTCCTGGAGAGAATATTAAGCAGCAACTTGTAGTTACCAGCAGTTGCTTTCTAGACTCGCCAGCATCTGATAGAGCAGATCTGCACAGCATAAATAATTGGTGGCATCTTTGTTAGACCCTTAACCCTGGAATACTCTGCAATGGATGCTGCATTTGAAAAGGGCCCTAAAGAGAAGTAGATTCACTGTGTGTCTGTTTCTACACTGGGCAAAGTCACATCAGGGTTGTTTTTGGGTGGGGGGCTCCTTATTTTTCTTGTTTAAACAATTTAATTTCCAAGTTGGGTGCAGAATCACGAAGTGTTTGCAGTCATGTGAGTTTAATTTTGTGTTTTTACAGCATGTAGCATGGAAATGTTACCCACTGAGCCCTCTCCCAAATCACAAAATATGCTGTTTTGTACAGTTGGTATCTGCTGTAAAGATTACTAAGCTATGTAGCTTAAGGAGAGCCCAGAGCTCACCAGGTAGGCTAGCTGGCCAGCAAGCCCCAGGGATCCTCCTGTCTCTGCTTCCCCAGAGTGGGGTGAGGGTGTGTGTGTGCTATGGTGCTCACTGACTGAACTCTTTCCCTAATCCTGAAATTCATTATTTTGTGTAATTAATAATGCTGTAATAAAGCATAAAATTTTTGCAGTTTAAGGAGACAGGAAATGCCAGTTACCCTGATTTGATCCTTATAAATTAATGCATGTATCACGTAATACTTCATAAATATGTATAAGTATGTCAATTAAAAATTAATGAGAACTAAGAGAGCCTTCAAGTAGCAGGAAAACAAATAGCTTGCTATGAAATCAAAGTGTCCTTCTAACTGTGATTTATTCTTTGGCTATATTAGACAGCAGAAGAAAAAAAAAAGATTACAGTATATTCGTACACTTCACTAAACTTTTGTTGAACTTATTTTGTTATTTGAGGTTCCCGTCCCCAAACATCCCCATAGAAAATCAGCAGTGACAGGGATGTGAACTCTGGTCTGGGTGTTGGCATGTGAGAAGCATGGTCCTATGCAGTGGTGAGGTCTGGGGTTTGGAGGTAGTGTGCATGACTGTCTGCCTCCCTACCTGTCTGTCTGCCTGCTGCCTGCTGCCTGTCTGTCTGCCTCCCTGCCTGTCTGTCTGCCTCCCTACCTGTCTGTCTGCCTGTCTGCTTCCCTACCTGTCTGTCTGCCTGCTGCCTGCTGCCTGTCTGTCTGCCTCCCTGCCTGCCTGCCTGCCTCCCTGCCTGCCTTTTACAGCAGGAAGGATGAAACAGAGAGAACCTGCACCACAGATAGCTTTGATTGTGCTTCAAAGTCTTGGAATGTAGAAAAGCAGTGACCGGAACCAAGTACATTAGTTTTCTCCCCCATGAGGAGCCATCTCACAGTATGTTCTAGTACTGGGTAGTTAACTGTACTCTTTAAATGCTTTCCTACAAATGGTTAGAAGTGAAATGAAGCTATTAATGAGTTAGCTCTGTTTTCATTGATAGCCAGATCATATCAAGTATGCGCTTAAGTATGTCAACAGCCGGTGGAGATGTGCTGTTAGATCACATTCTAGATGTGGCTTTTCAGTGAACTTGAAAGACGTTGATTCGTGGCGTTTGGATTGTTTTTCCACTTTCCCTTTTCTCTCAAAGAGGTCACGTTGTTAGTGGTAAGCGTTCAGTAAAGGTAATTAAAGGACATAAGAGTTAGCTGAGGATATAGTCAACTGTAGAGAATTTGTCCAACGCCCACAAAACCCTCTGCTGATCCCAGCATGGAAGAGGGAAGGGAAGGATCCTTGGGAGAACTTTTCTAAAATTTGAGATTGAAACGCTCCTCACGTTTTGTTTGATGCAGCACAGATCCAAGTGGTGATAATTTGTTTTATTCCCGAATTTGTACTTGAGAGTGAGAGTGCTTTAGTTTTTCAAGTACATACTAAACAAATAGAGTGGGTAAGGTCTGTGTACACAGCCCTTGTGACTCTTCCCCAAGCTTATTTAAGCTTTCTTAGCAGGTAAGCCAGCGGCAATCACTAAACCACTCATGTTGTTAAAATATCTTCTTCCCCTACTTAATAGTTGTCTTTATTAGTAGGACCAAGATACATATTTTCAGAAGAAACTTTTGAAAATTAAAAACTTTCAGTCAGACTTGTGCCAATGCTCAATTGAACTTTTCAACTTCCAGAATCCAGAAATAAACATATATTACTGTATGCAGATGTAATTACCTTCAAAACATGTACCACAGGGCGTTAATTTTATGCTTTGAAGTTAAGATCAGAAAAAAGCCTTCCTACGAGCTGTGTAGGCTATTATTAGTGGCCCCTTTGCTTTCTCTAGGACAGCTCAGAGTTCTGTGCTCTCAGAATCGGGATGACAAGGACACTGGGACCTTCCCTCCTCTCTCAGTCTGCTCGTTCCTTCCTCTACGTCACTTGCTCTCTCAAAAGGGTGTGGGCAGGCTGACTAGATGGCTCAGTGGGTGATGGTACTTATGACCAAGCCTTATGACCTGAACTCAGTCTCCAAGTCCCACGTGGTGAAGGAGGGAACAGATTTCTGCAAGTTGTCCTCTGACCCCTCCAATGTGCATGCCATACACATAATAAATAAATAAATAAATATAACAAAAATGTATAACACAAAAAGGAAAAAGCACAGTCGCTTCAAATCTAGAAATGTAATGAGAAGCCCTGTAAAACTCAGGGATTTTTTTTTTGTTTTGTTTTGTGGTCTTGGCTGTCCTGGTTCTTACTATAGACCAGGCTGGCCTCAAACTCACAGAGATCCACCTGCCTCTTTCTCCTGAGTGCTGGAATTAAAGGTGTGTGCCACTGACGCATTCAGTTTTTAACAGTCTCAAGAGACAATCACTAAGAGCATCCTGCTGACCTCCAAAGTTAAAATTCTTTGATTAAAGTAGAAGGCATGCTTTAATTTTATATAAGAATAAGGATTATTTTAGAAGTTTGTGGCAATTGTACTTCTCCATATAAAGGTTCTGAGCTTGAATCTTGGTGCTGGTTTGACTACTTGAAAAGCTAGTAGGATGTGGATGTGAATTCCAAGACATCACTCTTGGCAAAGCAGGGAGCGAGCATCACATTGCCTAATGTCCGCAGGGATGGGTGAGGGAGTGCATAATGTCCCTTCACTGAGGGAGGGAGATGTGCGGATGCATGAGTGACTCCAGTGAAGACGGAGGTTCTGTCCCGCCTGGTCCCATAGCCTCTTTGCCCCAAATAAACTGTTAGCCGATGGCAAGGGCTCCTTATTGGCTAGCTCTGTCTTAAATATTAACCCATATCTATTAATCTAAGTATTTTCACATGGTCATACACAGAAGGACCTCCCCCATCAGGGTCTCACTTTTTTATATAAACTCGTCTTGAATTCCTGGACTCAAGTGACCCTACTATGTCATTCTCATTGGTAACTGAGAGACTAGGCCATCACCAGATCCATCTCTATCTTGGTGTTCTTCAGGTGGCTCTGCTGAACTGACTGAAGATGGCACCCTTAAAGATACTAGGGCCTTTTTATTGTCCAGGACTCAAGGCTACTTCCTAATATATCCTGTCTATATAAGCATTTGCTTTCAGCCAGGCCCCCACTGGAAGTCTAACAACACTGCCTTACTGGGGTATTTTGTGTGTCTTTATATTTCATAGTCTTTAATTCTGATATAATATCCTTACTCCTTTCTCATTTATTATTTCCTTATTTCTTATCTTTTTATAGCCATCTCACAGAATTTTATCTCATATAAACAAATTTCTGAAGCAAGACTGAGTATGGCTTTCACAATTTTGAACTGTTTGAACTTCTGAAATGTTAATGCATGGCTTTTCAACATCTAAAGTAGCTTCCTCCGCATTCATGAAATACCTGACTCCAGTGTCTTCAGTCTCAGAGTCTGGCTGGTTTCAGGTTCTTTCCTTCCCACACCAGAGAATGTGATGGATCCATGTGATGTGTCTGTGCTAGTCTTTAGCAATGGAGACACATGTTTCTAGTCAGATAACAGTTTCTTATAATGTCTAATGCTTAGAAAATTAAATTGCATATTTTTTTATTTCATGCTGTAAAGAAGGCAAGTGTAACTTTCCCCATAAATACCTAAATTCTGACTTAGGGAAGATTTCAGTTTGCCAGATATAATCCCATACTGAGCCCCCTGCTTTCATTTACACTCGGTAGAACGTGGTAACAAAATACAACTGCAACCCTAAAGAGAATGCTCTAATTAGATTGAAGCTAAGATACATTGTTCTGCATTTTAGCAGATTTCCTGTCAGGAGCTTCTATTGTAAAAGTAAAGTATCACATTTTGAAATCCTATATGCAAACCAGAAATATTTTGGAAGCTTCCCAAAGCTGTTAATATCATGCTTTGTTTTTAAATCCTTACACATCTCAAGATTGTATTCTTAGGTCATCTGCTTGCACTCTTGTTATTTCGTAAAGCCTGAAATGCTTTGGCCTATTTTTTTTTTTTAATACAAAACTTTCAAATCTGAGGCTTCTCTCCTCTGAAATTTAACACTGAGTTTTTCATGACAGGAAAGCTCTCCTTGCAGACAAATGTGGAGCCTGCAGTAAACTGGTCTTGCATTCACTTTCACATTTAAAAAGGCAGGTATTGCTGGTTTTTTCCTTTGGTGTTTTAAGAAAAGCTGGCATTGAATTGTATGTACAGTGGAAGACGACCTTGTACTTCTGATCCTCCTACCATCTCTCAAGTGCTTAGGTTTTTTTGTTTGTTTGTTTGTTTTTTGTTTTGTTTTGGTTTGGTTTGGTTTTTTTGCTTTTTGAGATAGGGTTTCTCTGTGGCTTTGGAGGCTGTCCTGGAGCTAGCTCTTGTAGGCCAGGCTGGTCTCTGCCTGCCTCTGCCTCTGCCTCCCGAGTGCTGGGATTAAAGGCATGCTTGGGGTTTTTAATAATTTCCTTTGGCTAAGTTAAAGGAGACTAGAATTGCAGTGGAGTCTCCCAATCTAAGACTTTTTCTTCCCCGAGACCCACAG